GGTATCATTTATTACTGTAATTAACATATCCGCGTTGAAAAAAATGCGAATATGTAGACTCATCAGCAAAAAAATAGCGAAATCATATTAAAAAATAATAATTGTGACCTAGAGCTCGCCTAGAATAGCGTGTAATTTTTTAATTCTTTCCATTTATGGGACTTTTTGGTAGTTTTGTATTATAACATTAAAAATTGAATGGAAAAACATTAACAGAAATTGAGATAATCTGGTTATATAATTTCTACGCATTTTAATCAATTTTCTAATTTTCTAAAAAACTACGATGTATAGAGCCGGTGGAGTTTTATGAATAATTTTGTTTGAATATTATCTTCGAAAAAGGCACATAAAACGCAGATGTCCGCAACTAAAATAAGTAAAATTACACACTGTGATCGGTAAGACGTGTTTGGATTCATACACTACAATATAACATATTGTACGTAGATTCTAGAGGGTAAATAATTTTTTCATTCGCATCATACGTCTTTTAATTTGGTCGAGTATTACTTATTTAATAGTAATTGTTTCGGACGGAGAACGAGAGTACAGGGCCACTTAATTGAATCATTTACGATTACGAACAAGTGTCATAATATTTATTTACGTAGCTCAGTGGCGTTCGAGATTGGAATTATGTTTTATTTTATGGAGCACTTATTTTTATGATTCCGTGTGCTGTTAAGAGGGTAACAAAGGGAACCTAAGTAAGTTTCGTCGACACTGGTCTTCTTTAAGGTGTTTCGGCCACACGGAAATATCGGGTTTTCGTAATTAAAAAACGAATTAAATTTGTTTTTTATTTGATAATGGAAGGTACCGGTAGTGACCTATAGAGCCCGAAACATGATTGACTAAACTTCGCTCGATAAAAAAATCACAAAGTTCCGCAAAAATTTTCATTACTTTAAAACGTTGATCTACGGAAAAATCAGTTTCATTCAGTTGAAATTTTTTCTCCCGTGTTCCGTAATAGCTACCTTAGGGAACAATCAGTTATTTTACAGTGAGAGAGTATATTTTATTTTTAAAAGGCGAATGTAAACATTCGTGTACAATATCGTGTGATGAGTTTCTATGCGTCTACCTAACATGTTTCAAAGCCACGCAACCACAATATCATTTCGCCCGAAGAACTTTGAACACTAGTGTTAAATTATTTTGTATATTTTAGATTTTCCTGTGCTTATTACATTTCCGATTTAGAATAGTCCCTCCTTAATAAGTCACAGTATGGTGACCATAGATTTAGTATATAGGTACCCATAGATTGGCAATGCAAGTGAAAGAGCGTTAGTATACACGTATTTTAGAGCGAGATGGGTAGATGAGGCCACTTCATTATACGCTATGAGCCTGTATGAACCTAGGATCAGCTGACAACGAAACAAATTTCGTTTATTTTTGAAAAATAATTGGTTTTAAAATGTGAAATAGTGTTAAACGGATTATTAGTCATAGTAGCGTGTTCAGTGCCCGGATGTAACTTATTTAAAAAGGAAAACTCGCAGAATTGTACATTTCACATGTAATTACTATTTAAATTTTTAGCTGTCTAAAAGCACTGCCACAAAAGTATTTTACATAAATATGTCCGTAACTGCCTCCGTGGCCGAACGGTTACCATGCCGGACTGCCATGCAGAGGTCCCAGGTTCAATTCCCGGGTCGGGAGAAATATTTGTATGGCCTACATTTATTTCTCTCGTGAGTTTGGATGTGATTTGTGGTTGTCTACGTGTGTGTCCATGGCACCCGCGACACAGGGTTTCCCTAGTGCGGGGCTATGTTGAGTGTGTACGTTATTATTATTATTAAAATTATACCATTCAAGTGCATTAATAACCCAAACGTATACGAATATCTAATACGTGAATTTCTGAAATTCATAACCCCACTTTCATAGAGATTGACGCAATCGATAATATGATATCGAGATGTCATTAAATGAAAAAAAGAAAGACAAAGGCGTGGCTTGCATACAGCCGAAATCATCTTCATACTTAAAATTATTAAATCAGAAATTTCTGGTTTTAGTACTTTACATTTAATTAATATTGCATTAGTGCATTATTTTTTGTCTACATTAAAACGAAAATTTCTTTTAATAGTGTAGTTGAGGCACCAATTTTTTTTTATGTTAACTATTGTTGTTGATTCAGATTTCCTCAAAACATTGAAGTACGACAGAAATGGCTTATAATGCTAAAGAGAGAAGACTGAGTTCCCAAAAAGTTTTCAAAAATATGCAGCAAACCTTTGAGGAAAAATGCTTTTCCTTTAGAGGCAAGCAAAGAGTAAAGCTACGGTCTGGTTCTGTACCCACATTATTCATAAGTAAGTAAGTCTTATAATTAATGGATTTTTGTGTAGTACTACCCTCGTCAACAACAAATCAGCGATTTGTTGTTGTTAGTTCTGTTCTGTTCCGAAATACGATACTCATATAGGATCACTTATGTCCATCTGTCCGTCTGTCACAGCCAATTTACTCCAAACCTACTGACATGATTATTTTGAAATTTGGTACACATATGCATTTGTGTGACCAAAAAGTGTAACGTAAATTAATTAATTCTGAATTTGAAGTCCTATTGGGAGGGAAAGTTTTCAAGTATATATTTTTTGTAATTTTGAAATATAAATATTTTTAAGTTGTTTAAGAAAATAGACGAAAATTGATCATTCTCCCCTTTATCTTCGAAACTACGGAGCCTAAAGTTTTGAAAAAAATACAGAAATTGTCTTTAAATCTCTCACTATTGTGCGAATAAACCTATATTTGCTGTTGGAATCTATTGGTGAACATATTCTTCAACTACAATGTTAAGTCTGTACGGAAACCTCTCCGCGCGAGTTCAACTCGCACTTGGCCGGTTTTTTAGTTCTATTACTTATCTGCAAATTCACTGCTGTGCTGCACTTCTATGTCATCATATCATACAATAATTATAAAAAATATATTTGTTTGTAGGTTGCGGTCGTCAGCTTGGTTCGTGGCCACCATACTATCGCGCCGCAACTGATCGTGGGTCTTATAACCGTTTTGTAGAGCCATAGTGTTATCTTGGGTGAAAGTCCCCTTGTTTACCTACCATCCTATGGCACTGCCAGGAGGTGATAGTAGCTTTCTTAATTTTGTTGAATCATTAATTAATTAGTTAATTAACGTCTCGGCGTTTTGCGATAAGACATTTTGGTGAATCCGACGAAGTGAAATGCCGGTGTAATATGTTAATCGATATTAAAGTTAAATCAGTGGATGGCGCAACACTATTTATCTTGCACACATGCACATTATACGCACACAGATGTATTTTTGTTTTGGTCTCGTCTCCAATATTTCAGGGCCAATCTATGGATATACTAAATCTATGATGGTGACAATACAATAACACGAAGACTTGTGTAGAACTATTAATCTATGATTTATGAATATTAGAAGACATTGAAAGTATGTCAGTTTAGTTATTTATATGCTACCATGTATAAGTTAGAGAATGGAAAAAATAGGTAGTCAGTAGGTACGTTGGCAGTATAAAAACGTTGTATGTAAGCTGTAAACTTATAAAAATTTATTTACTTTGAAGTGAGTTTGTAAATGTTACTTAATTTTTCTGAACTTACCATAAGACATCGATGCCTTTGGACTATATCGCAGTATTGAAGAATACTACGATTTTGAACTAAGCATACAGCGAAGAGTAGAGCAAGAGAAACTACCTTGGATGAAGCATCCGTTATCTAAATCAAAATAAATTAAGAAAATTTTTTATTCACGATAGTTAATATACGTTCGCTCGCTCTACCCGTCGCTGGATGCTTAGTTCAAAATCGTAGTATTCTTCAATACTGCGATATAGTCCAAAGGCAACGATGTCTTATGGTAAGTTCAGAAAAATTAAGTAACATTTACAAACACACTTCAAAGTAAATAAATTTTTATAAGTTTACAGCTAACATTCCGAAATACCTTCTGCGTTATTTTATAAAGGTAAGGATATAGTACTATCGATAATTCCTTCATCGCTAAATTCTAACTCACGCGCATAAGGTATTTGAAATTGTAATATAGCACGGTTTATGCGTGAAAACGAACTAGCATTTGAAAACGAGAAAATAGACTGTACAGGTTGAATAGGTACCTACTTAATGTCTTCGAAATGAATAGCTATTGATCAATAAATAAATACTAGTGCTATTACATTAGGTATTATAAGGTAGATTTGTAATATGGAAACAATATTTTTATGTTATAAAATAACACTGAATGGAACAAAAGTTTTGTCTGAAACCATATGAATACAAAACAATACGCATTGATTTGTCATTTGTTTATTTTTTCTTTGTAATTGTCCGTGTCATTGCCTTCGTTAAGCAGCTTTGAAATAATCTCAGTACAGAGTCCTAAAAAGACCTACCTCAAAAGTCAATCATACCCCAGTTTGACACCCTTAGTGGTGAAATATTGTCTTCAAATTTAAATAAGACCACTCCTGAGGTACCCTCTTTCCAACAAAAAAAAAAACCATGAGTTATATCTTCGTGTAACATACGTACAAAAAAAATACAGTTCAATTGAGAACCTCCTCCTTTTTTTGAAGTCGGTTAAAAATACGAAACACTTTTCTACTTCGTTGCTTGTTATTTAGCTGCTTTAAATTTTTTATACCTCATTTCGAAGAAAACATAAATGCTCTTTTAAATACGGTTGTCTCTCTTCAAAGTGAGCTAAACATTGTGAACTCTAATTAAATATTTCTTAAAAGTTCACATGTACCGCAAAGTAGTACAAGTACATATTATTTACTCCGCACCTTATTGATTATATAAGTATAATTTTGTTCCAGTTGGAGTAAGCTTATACCTCTATTTACACTACCAAGGCTTACTTACGTACTCGACAATGTTTGTTAATATCTAATATTATGTAGTTAAATAATTGTAATATTATTTATATATAGGTATGTAATGAATTTATTTGAATATTTAACTTACATGCAATCCTAAAGCTACCACCAGAAGCACATTAATTAATGAAATCAGTTGAAAATACGGTTGATGTGTGTTAAAAAGTGACTTCCGAATGATGATTAAAAAAAAACGGAAAATGTATTTCGCGGGCTTTTCACTAACAGCGGGGGCGCGCACTTAGTACGAAGTCTTGTGATGGACTGCGCAAATAACCGTGCAAGTTTTAGTTTGAACAAGTCAGCGATGTGAGCACAAGCTACGTACAGTACATAGTGGTATCTACATTGAAATCGTCAAAAACCTTATACTTTTTCTCTCCGCGAACATGTCTGCACACCGTAGGTTAGGTTGGGCAGGATCCACGTAAGGATGAGTTGGTGCTTAAGTGACTCAGGAAGGTCACTCCTCATGAGCTCCTACAAGAATCAGTAGCTCTTCCAGGCATTCACGATGCGACAACCGATTTCCTTGTCATGCCTGTTTTCAAAGCTCGCTAACTGGTCCGAGAGATATGTATACTCATGAATTTACTATTTCCTTCCTCTCTACCTCAACCCCACGTTGCGTACTATCAGACGTTATCTGCGTTCTACACCGGTTTATCTGAAGTCTAACCTTTAGAAAAACCGCTCCAGAACACTTAATTATTATAGAGCAGTATGAATTACGGACACACCAATGTACGTAAATACATAACTATGTATCTAGAACTACGTAAATCAAATAGTTCTACCTATATGATCAAACATGTATGTATAAATACATATTACTTTTACAAATAAAAAATTGTATGTACATACCTAGCTGGTAAAACAACTGTTATATGGGAAATAATTAAAATTAGTTTTCTTGACTACATATTGGTAGATATATTATGTAATTATTGTAATAATACTGCTGGATGAACCACAAAAAATCAAGTTACAAGTCAAGTGACATTCATAGATAACTGTAGTATGAACCAAATTAGTGAATGCAGAATTAATGAGACATTGTAAATATGTAAATACCCATAGCAACACTTTAGCCGTTTAATTGGCTGATTTTATAAACGAAGTAATAGATTGTTTTGTTTTCATTTACTGTGTTTAATTACGTAATGATGGTTCATTCCCAGTAGTTCCATGTACTCAGTTCCACATGGAAAAATTGTAACCCAAAAGTTTCAAGCAGGGAACTGGTGGGAATAAATTTAATGTTTTTATCTCTATTCGTGTGCACGAAGGTCATCAAGGTTGCTTGCAAATTATTTTGGAAAAAAATTGTAATTTATTTCCTATAAGAAAGGTATAGAGCCCAATAAAAATATGGTGATAAAAGAAAAAAAGCTTAAGTAAATGTTAAAAATTAAACTTTTTTTTTTTATTAAAACTGAATGGAATGTTTTCATTCATGATGCAAGATCACTACCTTGTATTATGAATGAAAAGATTCATCACTATGCATAAACATTCATAATATGTTATATGAGTTTGTAATTAGTAATGCAGATTAGTTATATAGTGACCCACAGACCTCTCATTATCTGAAATGACATCAACTTGGAACATTAAAATGTTGTATTGTAATCAGTTCAAATAGGGTCATTCATGTAATCATGAATTCGCAAATTTGTCTTGAAAAAGGTCACAAAATTGAAATTGCAAATAATTTTTATTCACAGCATTGATATATTATATCAAAGATCACCTCAGCATAACATCTTGCTAATACTATAAACTAAGGTTTCAGTTTAATTTATATAATATGTCCTAGTAGCATAGCTCCTTGTGAAAGAGTTGGTCCAGGGAAATAATGCCACCTTACTTATTTCTGCTGCCAAGCAGTAATGCTCACATTACTGTGTTCCAGTTTGGAAGGGTAAGGGTGCTGGTGAAATTACAGGCGTATGAGACTTGTCAACTTATGTCTCAGGGTGAATAACGGGCGCAGTGACAGTGCTCTTAAGATCTTTGCAATTTAAAGCTCTGAGTGGCACTGCAGCTGTCATGGATAGGTATTTTGCTTACCACCAAGCACAACTTGTTCATCCCGTCACTTGACATGATAAAAAAATTCACTGATTAAATTTACTAAAACAAATAATAAACAATAAAATTTAAATAGGTAGGTATCCAACTTTAATTAGTTCTGTAATGAATTTGTTATTGGGTATACATATTTTTATATACCACACTAATTTTTCACAGTTTTATTGGTTCTCCATACAAACTTTAATTCCCTATTTCATCCCCTGCAAGTTATTTCTGTGACAAAAAGTAAGCCTATGTCTTTCTCGTATATCCCATCTATCACAAACCAAAAATAATCAAAATTGCAGCATTTCAGGCGTGAAAATGTAACACAGGATTATAATATTCAGATTTCAGGATAAGAACCACCAAACAAATGAAAATATAAAATTTATAGTAAATATTATTATAAATTAACCACACATAAAAATTAAAAGAAAAATAAAAACAAAACTTACAAAATATTTCACCATTTTTTCAGCCCTTATTTTTGCTGTATCTGTATCAATAAAAGAAAAACAAAATTAATAAGAATGGATAAATTTATTCCATCAAATCACCAGTCTTTGTTTACCTACCTTATTTAATCCTATTTCCTAAATTGTAAAACATAGGTATCTACTATCTTATTTAAATAATTTACTTACCTTACGAACTCTCTGTTGTGTTCAATTAATTAACAATTATTATTGTATTGAAAAATGTAACAGGTATCACTCATAATATAATTAAACACGTTTCCCCAAATATGGGGCAAATACACTTGAAAATAAGAAAAAAAGCACTATTCAACAAGTTCTTGTACTATTTATTAAATGTTACAGCAGTTGTTCAGGATTTATTTAATTTTATTTCGGAAAAACACAAACACCACCAACAGAAACAGATCAATCAAAATTTCACGTTCCGTTTTACTCTTCCCGGCAACATACAGAGAGGATACAGAGTACTAAAGCGCAGGCGTTTATAGAAACGTATCGATATCAAGACCACAGACTATCGCACATCAAGACATCAAGACTCAAGTAATAAGTTCGTAAGGAACTTCAAACTTTTTGAGGATAATTTACTTTTACCCATATGGTTGAGACATGTAGCTAGTTTGCTATCTTTTAATATTAAGGACGCTGTTATAGAAAAAATATAATACAGTCCCACGACAATGCTCCTACTTTAAGTAGCAACAGTATACTTTTTACTAACCATAATTTAAACTAAAAAACACGACAACAGAAAAGTCTAATCGTTTCTATGTAGTACATCAAAATATTCAAGGCTTTTCTGGCAAAACATTAGAAATAAGTCTTTTTTGCACGATATTTCCGTTGACGTGTTTTGTGTTACAGAGCACTGGCTGAAAGACTACGAAGCAATTAACAACATAGAAAATTATGTAATAGTCAGTTCGTTCATAAGAAAGAGTTTAAGTAGAGGCGGATCCATGATTATTATTAAACGTAACTTAAAATTTAAAGAGCGTAAGGATATCACAGATCTTTCTACTGAACGAACTATTGAGATTTCATGTGTGGAATTGGATCAGTTTGTCGTCTTATGTGTATACAGGCCCCCCCCTGCTAATTTTAACGAGTTTGAATTAATTATGGAAGACAGTTTAAAGCGGATTTTTCCAACAAAAAAAAAGGTAGTAATATGTGGAGATTTCAATGTAAACCTGTTGGAAAACTGTTCTACATCTGTAAGACTCATTAATTTATTAAAAAGTTTTAACTTGATTAATCTTTTCTTAGAACCAACTCGCATCACTGCCTCCTCCTCTACTTGTGTTGATAACATCTTTTGTAACACAGACGCAGTGTCTAAATCAATAATAAATTGCTTAAGATCAGACCATAGTGGCCAATTGGCTTCTTTTAATTGTAAAATGAGCAAGAAGGTAGACCAATTTCTCTGCAGACCGATTACCACAGAACGAATCATTAGATTTCAAAATAATATCGGCAATAGTTTAAATTCCCTACCCCATATACCGGAGGTTCCAAATACTTTATATAGCACGATATTTGGCTTAATTAAAAATGAATTTGATAATATATTTAAATCGAAAACATTAACTTTCCATAGAGAGACTAAATTCAACGACTGGGCAACAATAGGTACCTATTCATAAGAGTAGGTTTCGTTTGTATGAGCTATAATGCTATGAATGAACATGATGCTATGAAAACTTATAATACTAATTCCAATTTCATAGAATATGTTAGAATTTATTCAAAAATATTTAAAAAAGTATGTGTAGCTGTTAAGGTTAAGTTTCACAGCGACAAAATTAGACAATCGATAAATAAATCTAAAACTACTTGGAGCATAATAAACAAAGAGTCAGGCAGGGTTAAACAATACGATAGAGATATAGTTTTAGAATTAGACAGTAAACTTATAAAATCTAAAGATAAAGTAGCCCAAGCTTTTGAATCGTTCTTTTCGGAAATTGCTGTGAACACTACAGAATCATTAAATTCCTCCCCTTCACTTGCTATTGATCTCCTAAAGGAAAATGTTAACGTTTGTGGCAGTTTATTTAATTTCCGTCATGTTAATTCACAAGACATCATAAAAGCTTTTAAATCAATACATGTTAAAAAAACTGAAGATATCTGGGGCATATCAACTAAAGTTATAGACTCAGTTATTGATCTTATTTCCCCACATTTAGCTGTAGCTTTCAACGGGTGCGTTGACGAAGGTGTTTTTCCCGATTTAATGAAATACAGCAAGGTTATTCCCTTATTTAAAAGCGGTAGGAAAGTTGATCCTAGCAACTATAGGCCCATTTCAATTTTACCAGCTTTAAGTAAAATATTCGAAATGGTTATGCTGACTCAATTACTGTCCTATTTCGGTAGGAATCATATTTTTCATAGTGAACAATACGGGTTTACTAGTGGTAGATCACATCTTTGATGCCTGGGAAAGGTCCCAGAACGCTATTGGTATTTTCTGTGACCTCTCAAAAGCATTTGATTGCGTTGATCATATTACTCTTATTAGGAAGCTGGAACATTACGGTGTAAATGGCAAGGCGTCGAAACTTGTCTCGTCATATCTCAACGGTAGAATTCAGAAAGTAGACATAAATGGTGTAACTTCTTTGGGAAAGACGACATGGCTCCAGAATCCACACAAATTTGATTCAAAGTGTATTCCATAGCATTTAAATTTATTTGAAAAGAGCAATCCCTAGAGTTTCTTGCTCGTTCTTCTCAGGGAGGTCAGCGTAGTGAACGAGCAGTAGCTTAAATGTGACGATTTTAAGTGACACAACAAAACATTTTATTCGCAATTGTAAAAATTGTACAAGTCCTAACAAATTTATAAATTAATGTGTAACCCGTGTTATATTTCTATGGGAACAACATAATAAAGGTTCCGAAAAACAAATAAAATTCCAGGGAAGTATGACTAAATCAAAGCACTAGAAATCATACTCAAGTCCTTGCCATTAGGGTCGTATTTCCAGTGCTTGAAATCGTACTCAAATTCTGACTTGACCATTGAGTAGAGTTCTGAATACGACTCTGAGGCTCAATTTATAATGCGGCGGAACGGAATGGAAGTGAATGTTTGTAACGATATTGACATTAATTAATGAATTTTACGGTCAATTGTGTAACACATAAACTAGAATGATTTTGGTTCGTATCTAGTTTCTACGTTCACAATTGACCATAACGTTTATTATGTTATGTACAATATCGTTACAAAAATTTTTTCGGAACTTTCAGCATTTCCTTCGGTTACTTTCGTATTTTTATTTGCACAAAAGGTTTCGTAGCTTATATAGTAAATAACGCGGTAATACATGAACAAGTAAATAAGCTTATTCACATATTGCCAATAAGCTCATTTACTTTTCCGAGCTTTTAAGGAAGGAGAATAAATAAAAGAAATTCATTGTGAGAAACATTTTATTCGCAGTTGTAAAAACTGTACAAGTCCTAACAAACTTATAAATTAATATCTATTATGGACCTTCGCATGGCACTGCTGATATGAAGCCACAATTTTCGTGTCCGATGTACAGTTAGCAACACAACTAAATACATCACCTATACAAATACCCACAGAGTGATGTCTTTAGCTATGTTTGTAGGTGTACTCTAAGACTACGTTGCAACTTGCTTTGTCAACATTTTCTACAAAAAACATCAGTCAATTTGTAATGGATAATGTTTTCAAAAACTTTAGTTGGTGTTTGAAATATAATTTCCAAAAATCACTTAATCTATATTTTGAGTAGATTTAAAAGTACTTGGTATCTATTAATCTGATGATTATATAACATGAAAGATTTTAAGAATGACAAAGAAAAAAATGTTGGAAAAATCGAATAATCAATATAATGTAGAACACACATTTCACTCTCTCCTTATTCCTAAGAATGGGGCAAAAATGTATAAACTATGTACACTTCTAAGCACCGTTTTTGACACGTGGTAATATCAATTCGTTTCTGGGCACGGACTGACACGATCATTTCATGTAAGTGTCGTTTCACAATTAAAATATTGTTCTTAAATGTCTTACATAATATTATATTTTTCTCATTCAACAGTTTCAACAATTTTAATTACAAAACGACTACCTACTTGCAGTTAATCAAAAGCAATCTTAAAATAAAGATAATCAAGTTAGTTGGTTCTCTAAAATGGTTAAAAACAAAACATAATTCTACTTATATTGTAGTTTACGGTTTCATACGACATAAATATTTTCCGTACTAGCTAGACAATAAATCGTATTAACAAATAAAATAAAAGGATCAACAAAAATTAATAAAATCATTTTATATACATTAAAATTATATAAACGTTTACTTGTTACAATGTGGTAAGATGTAAATGTCACACAAACTATTTCAAATTAAACAGTATGAAGTTAAGGGAATTCCTATGACGCCACGAGCAGACGCTTTAAACACACTCAACTGTCTGGTTGTCTAAACTATTCGATTCCATTAAATACCAAATGCAACCCAAAACATCATATAAAATGCAACGTGTAGATGGAAATGTTCTGCTGTATATTAATAGCTTTAATTGCGTAAGTGTTTTTGTTTCAAGAAATGTAATTTTTGACACATAACATTTGAAATGTTTCAGATTAAGTCAATAATATAGGGAGAACACGAAATTGACAGAAATATTAATAATATAAAACACTGTTACACACACATACATATATAGTTTTACTACTTTTGTTCACAATGTTACACACTTTTAAAATAAATTGTTTCTTTTATAATTTAAGGTCACTTCTCATTTAGACATGTTTCTAAAATTTCCGTTTGCATTTTATAATCATTATTGTTTATCGTCAAATAAAAAAAAATGACTAAATAGTAAAAATATTTGATAAACTTGTCAAAATTTTAATAATTGTTAGCGTTAATAATAAGTTGTAATAAATAAAGAAATGATAATAATTTTTTTAACCCTACACCGTACGTATAGTGACTAAATGATCTTATTTATATGTATGATATATACAAAAAATGTTACAAATCATCATAATTGTTAAATAAAACGGGTATTGTATTAATCCGTAATTCGTTGTGATACAACATAAGTAATAAATAATAGATTTCTTTAATATTCAACAATTAAAACTAGAGATTTTTTTTTGAAGTGTTAGGAGCATACTAAATGGTCAGATTGATCAAAAATATTGAGTTAATTATTTTAGTCAAGACACATAAGAGGAAGACTGACTATTTTTTAGAAATTGCATCGTATTTGCATTTTAATACAGTCAAAGCATTTACCAGTTTTATAGCATGCTCAAAACGCTTCAGACAGTTCGTTCTCTACTCTACCGCTGAGTTTCTTCACTCACACACAGGAAACTCAATGGACAGTAGTTAACAACTCACGCCGACGTTTATGATGGTTTCCATGGAAATAGTAATTTATATTTTGTAATATACGTTTCTAAAGTTTTATATCTGTAATCAAGCTAATTCTGCCCAACGTGTGTATTTCTTAGAATGAAAATCTAGAATCAGGAAATCAAAGTAGTATTCACATAAACATTTATTCTGACCGCTTGTTTACATCGAAAGAGATGCGAAAAGTAAGATTATCTTTACAATAAGCTATGATCCTGATATCCATGAAAACCAACCACATTACCGTCGCCGCTCACTACAAGTAAAACCGAGCGTGCTTGAGCTAGGCAGAAAGGGTGCTCCGACGCCTCAAATGGGCCGTGTAAAGTTCGCCGGGAACATGCCTTTCTCATTGGTCGACTCTTTGATGCCCATTAGCCAACCTTCCTCCTGGAATACGAAATTAAACATTAATAAAATTGAGGAATTATAAGTAACATTAAGTGTTTAGTTAGTACTCTCTACTGTAACGCCAGTGGAGCACTAGCATTACAATATTGTACATATAGGTCCACGCATGAGTTTAGATTAATATGTACGTGAAAATTATGTATGGGATTTTTGCTATTCGGCCGGATACCGAAAATTAAATGAATTATAAATTCAAAAAAAAATCTACCAAGTACTAGTGAAATAAACAATGACTTATTTCTTTATAACCATAAAAATTAATATAGTTTTGTGTTTCATTGTATTAAACTATTTATCATAACTGAATAAGTGTCAATAAGTAGTACTTCTCGTGGCAATTTTCATACGTACATTAATCAAGCCGAATTTTCGGCTATTCGACGACGCTCTGGGCCGAATATGGTATTCGTTGCAACACCAGTTTTAAGTATCATCATGGTCAATCACACTATAGAGGTGAAGTTAAACAATACAATATTACTACATTTTGTCCCGAATGCTACTGAACAGAATGTCGGTCATCTCAGGATACACAAAATATTAGAAATAATTAGAACGAACCTGTTCTTCAGGATCATCATATTCGACGACGCGTATGATGTCGCCGACTTCGAAGGACAGCTCGTCAGAATCCTCGCGTGTGTAACGATACGTAGCACGTACACGGTACAGTGTGCCTGGTGGTAGTCCTGCTAGTGTTGCCCCTGCAGATATTAAATTTTGGCGCGTTAGTAACTTCAAATCATTTTATAATATTACCTTTTTTACGCATATAATGTAGGAAAGATTATCATGTAAGTATAAACTATCACTCATATCAATATTTGTTTGTATTTATGAAGAAAATATATTTGTATTAACGTAGATAAAAATAATTATGTTCTTTTAATTTTCGTTTCATAATTAACTAGGTAGGTAATAAAATAATATTTAAATACTTAAACTACTATGTACATTATAATATACCAACACATACACCGCCGGTGATTGCAATGCTGAAATACGTATAAGAATTAAGTGAAACGTGAATGAGATACATAAAAAAGTCACGAGTAAAATATGTAAATAAAAAAGTAAAAAGCCAGAGCATACACAAAATAAATGATTAATAAAGGCCATACATAAAATAAATACATATTTACAAACCGCACCTTCATAGCCGAACTGCGAATGTGAATAAAATACATAAAGATAAATAAAGACTTACTTATTATTCGGAAGTTGATAATGAACCACCACCACTGATTGCTTCGTACAATATACTATACTTTTCAGTATTCGTTTGAGACCCGTTAACTTGTGAATTCACAAAATGTTATGTATTCTATTTGTTCAAGTTCAGGCTCTAATTTTGAAATGTTTATTGAAATATTTTATCTCTACCGCAACTGTTTGAAAAAAAAAAGAATAGGCGAAAAAGAATCTCTCGCTTTTGATAAGTTTACGAATCTCAAAAGTCATCACAGTACTTACCAACGGGTATATCATAGACCTCGTCCTGTTTGGTCTCTTTGTTTTCTTTATCTTCCTTGGGTTCCTCTACATCTACAGCCCTCTCCTGTGGCTTCTCTTGAGCAATAGTCGCATTCTCGTTCTCGTTGTTATTTGCAATCTTGGCCGCTACTGGCGAGGGCGGGCCTGAGAGAACGGTTGTCATTGGATGCTGCTGACCTTTTAAATCTCGAACATGGTTCGCGATTGGTTTATGATGACGATTTAATTTTGAACTTAGTGATTGTTGTTGAATTTGCTTGCTTGTGTTAAATCTTTTGATGACCGAACCCTCCAAACTATTTGTTAATTTTATTTGCTTTTTTCGTTGGACCATATAAATGTACTGCCGTATTGAAATTAATTTTTCAGTAAGAGCCAATTTGTAATGTTAAATTGAAGCATGATGACTGACATAAAAAAATACGCTGCTTTTGTGAACCTTCCTATTACGTTTTGATGATCCGTTCTACACTTTAATATAGCTTAACATTTAGCAGAATTTTTCTAGCGAGTGTATTTACAGAACATAAGGAATTCAAAAATTTAGAAGTAGGTGAACAAAAATAGTGCTGTCAAATTATAAATGACATGCAGCTATCTACAACACTGCAACATTGAAGCCAAAAATTTTACCTTGCAAGTTCTTAACTCCGGAAATACCTTGTACCAGTTCTTCATTTGGACGGGCTTTTGATCTGTCATATTTTAAAGGAAATTAAGTAACTTAAAATTAATGAAGAAATTTCTTTCGATCCATATAATCATATTGCTATTATTTTGGAATTATTATTACAGATTCCTTTGAAATACGACACAGCCTTTACCCGGCGTCCCATAAAATAAGCTTCCATAACTCACCAACTGGAATATCGTACAACTCCTCGACTTTCTTATCCTGTTTCTCCTCGTTATTGTTGATTGCTTCAGTGTTATTGACGTCCTTCTTTTTAACTTGTTTGTTGTTAACATCCTTGTTGTTCAGTTCCTTGGGTTCCTTAGCTTTGTCCTCAGGTGGTGAGCGCTGCGGAGCGGAGGGGGCGATGGCGGGAGTCTCGGGGGGGTTGGCGAGCACGGGGGGCGGAGTAGAATCACCGTTGAGCGCACGCGGCGGGGTCGCAGGTGGCGCTATACCACACACAACACTCAATGCATGCACGCAACACAATAAGTGAATAAACGGTTAGGTACGGCAAAAGAAGATGGGTAAAATATTTGGATATCGTATAATCAAAATTATGGTGTTTGGAACTCAATTCTGTTAGTGATGTCAATTTAAGAAATACGAAACCTTTCAATATTGTCAGTTATGTAGGAATGTGGATTTAAAATTGTCAAAACGGTCCGCGAGTCAGGTTCATTTTTGAACTCACCAACTTCGCGTTTATTGTCCCATTGTGGCTTTGGTTGAACTTGAAATCTATTTTGCTTGATACCTTTGGTGAAAATTATTAATTTTAAAAAGATTATTTGATAATGAATGTATACGAAACCGTTTACTCCTAAAAACTAAATTAACAAACAAAAATTGGACAAACATTTGTTTTATTTTGTTAGTAAACGATCGCATCTGAAGACAAACCAATCAAATAGCGACGCTTTCTATCCATTCAAAGCTTTGTCACACAATAAAGCTGTAAATTTTAGTAATGCTCCACAGTCGAAAATTTTGAGGTCGTAACAAAATTCATAAACAATAAATAGTCGCAAATAGATATAGCACCTTCACTTAAATATCATGTTCGTCACATGTACCAGAACCTCAATTTTCTTTATTGACTTCTACAAGTTACTCAATACACCAAAACGTGTCGGAAATTTTAGATTACTCACTCTGAACAGTACTAGTGGGTGAAGCAGCGTTTCCGTTGTGAGTGTTCAGCGTGTTGGTTTTGCTAGTTGGCGACGACGGCGAGATGTTGTTGCCGACAGCTCTCTTGGTGTACGAACCGCGCTGGCAGTCTGTTCCTAGTTTATCTGTGATCGCTTCTAGCTCTGCGAATACCTGGAAAGTATAATAAGATTTATAAAAGACTAAGGAAACTACTACTATTCGGAAAGGTGGCACGTTCAAGGTTCGCGCGTACATTGAGCGCAAACGTCATAGATACAAGATGTTTTTATGATATCAAGTAACGGGACGAACAGGTTGTGCGTCTGGTCGTAAGTGACACGCCATCCATAGTGTCCATAGCAGTTCCAGTGTCACTCAGAGCTCACAAAGATCTAATGTGCATTGCCACTGCGCCCCTCATTCTGAGACATAACTTCACAAGTCCCATGAGCCTGTAATTTCACCAGCACCTTTCTTTCAAAACCGTAGCTCACATTACTGCTTGGCGGCCATTGACTTACAATTACATGGACGTCGGGTCCGCGCTAAAAAGTGTCCGCACTTCTAAAGCGCTAAAATCGTATACAGAGCGCGACACTCCGCTTTAGTCTTCATTTGTTCTACTGACAGCGCGATACTACGAAGACATTACAATTTAAATTTCGAATAGGTTGACTTGGGACATTTTTTTCGTGGTTTTTGTATTAGACTCGTCGTCCATTTATTTGTCAATGTTGGCGGCACAAATAATTAAGATAGCAGTGCATCCCTGGACGAACTCTTTCACAAGGAATTCTACTGCGACTAGTACGATGAAGATGGACGACAGTAAAAGTGTCGAGTACTTTTCAAAAACTGTACACTAGTGGCGTCGGTGCAGCTCAAAAAAATGCGTATTAAAAACGCATCTGAATGCAGGCAGGCATAGAACAGACCCCAAAACGACAAAATGCAGTGCAATATCTACGAGACCGTAGTCAACAAAAATGATAGGGTGATGTAAAGGGAACTTACTTTAGAACTCTCGCTGTGGAAGAGTTGTTCAGCAGCAAAAAGAGTTTGCAAATTGTTGACGTAGAAGAAAACACGTGAATCAAACAATGCTGGCAGTTCGTCATGTAATTCCGAGTTTAGTACTTCGTATGTGCGCTTCGCCTCTTCCAATTGTTCTCGTCCTTTTGTCACCTGGAATTACAATGTTATGGTTTAGTTTCACTTACATCCAAAGTAATATTTGATATAATATTATTGATATTGACACAAGAAAGGTGATATGTTACCTTAACGTCATCCCTTCTTTTAGCAGCGTTGGCCTGTAGGTTTTGGAAACTATGTCTTTGGCCGTCGTAGTCTACCAACTTGCGACCTCGTTTCTCAATTTTTTTCTGAAAAATTAGTCAACATTTCATTTTAAGTCTGTTTGTCATATGCATGCAATTGAACAAATTGAATGAATTGAACTTGTTGGAATACAACTTACCCTGACTTCCGGGAACTGGTTAGTGTACGTGTTCAGTGGTATGAGAACTTGATCGCCAAGTTTGTGCGAAAAGTCCTGCCAAAGCATCTCCATGTTTTGGGATTGCACATACAGAAGATCGTGACCTGACCACCCGCTTTCGTAAACTTCTGTGATCGCCTCCATCAGCGATTTTGATGCCGTTTGCACCGCTGTAAATTATAAAAGTGTACATTTGTTAGTCAGATACTTTGAAGTTGATGAGTTAAATTGAAACTAAAACCGAACCACAATTTTGTCGACTGTTTTTACTGGGTTCTATACGAGTCTTCTAAGATATTTTTATAATGTGACTACATATAAAACACCACTCTGCCTATAATTCTATTAATTGAATTATTTAAACTTAATTGCACACAAAACAGTACAAATGGCGGACTTAATATCATTATAGGCATTCTCTACCAGTCAACCGGAGAGCTGGTTCAAAAGAATTAACAGGGGTACATAACATGATAATGATAATGACATTTATCTGACTGTTCTTTTGGTCATGGCGGCCATTTTGACTCCTAGTTGGTTTGGCGTATGTAGCCAATCTGCCACTAGCATAGACATACCTCGTATACATCTTATGTAGTTGTTGAACTCTTTCTGCAACCGCGTGGCCTGTTGGTGCTGCCTGTTGAAGTTCTGCAGATGCTCCTCGAAGATGTCGTCGAGGGTGCGATCTACCTTGCCCAAGTTCTGCAGCAACTGTGGAAAGTAGAGAGGGAGATTTTAGTTCAAGAATATTTTTGAGGATTTTTAAGCTAGAAAATGCAAGTACGAATAATTATAGCAATAACTAAATTAATTTCTTATAATGAGTCGAACAAACTATTAACGCACATAACACTGATTTCTAGAAGTATGCTGCCTTTCATAGTCCATTGAATTCTCCGAAATGTCAATCTCTTAATGTTTTGTTACACAATCTGAATTTGACCTGCTTGGAATGTATCTCAATACTTTGCTCAGTATAGGCTACCAACGGGTCGAAAAAGAATATTTACTCGTAGCCACTTCTTCATTTTATTACATTTGTTATTAACTGCAAAATACAAATCTGACCATTACAATTCACACATTGCTTGGAATTAGACTGTGAATTATAATTATTAAGGCCTTAATACGCCTTCTTAATTTGTAGTACTTGATATCGTAAATAGGCATTCGTCGCCATATGCGAGGAATCTCGTAGGTGCAGACTTGCGAAAGACAAGCAGCAGACATTTTATGATAGTTGTTCCACCCACTAGTTTGATGACTGGAAGTCATCGAGTATTAGAAGTATACACTACGCTACAGTGTTTTTATATATCTCTAAGTTTTTAGTATAATCGTCCAAATGCGTTTCATATATACTTAGTAGTAAATAAATAGTTGTTCTCTGCCAACTATCTATTTTCTACTTTACATTAGGAGATAGCGTATGTAAATAACTTGATTTGAGGTTGGTAAACGTTTTCAAATTAGAAAAGAAAAAATAGCTACAGCGCAGAATGTTATAAAATTATATATGGTATGCGTTGAGAGAGTTATTATTCTAATTACTCAGAAATGAGAAGGTCTCCAAGGTTCCTAACGGTGTTCTCTCCTATGCTACGATACACCACACATATAGGTATAATTTGTCTTTGTTGAAAATTGTTCCTTATGTCGTTTACAGTAACGTGTGCATTTGCAGTTTTTAAATGAGGAGACCAGGGAAAGAACACTCAAAGTCAAGAAAAAACTGTTTTGCTAGATCAAACGGTTTAGGTAATCTTACGAAAAATATACGATAGACCTAAGGATATTGTCTAACGAATGCGCCAATTTTTTACACGATAGGGTGTTCTTTACCCGATCATATAAAATCCTGAAAACACGCAAAAATAAAAGTCTCAAGTAAATTATTTCAGAAAAAATGTCTAACTTTGCACATAAACTGTTGACATAAAAAAGGTTGCTACTAAGACACTTCTACTATTTTACACACTTATGTAGGTACAGATCTGAATAAGACTTTACTAGCTACATATTTTACACACTTATGTAGGTACAGATCTGAATAAGACTTTACATGTACTAAAAGTTTATGTAAAACTAGCTAAACGTTACTCATCAAGTACTTTGCACACAATGGGCCTTGCAATTGTCGCTGCAAGGTCGTCCATGATAGATTGATAGGCTAGTAAGATTATAAAACAGAGTTTTACAGACTAGGTTTTGGTAGACAATGTATAGACTATCGAAACTTCGTGTTTTTGGAGAAGAAATAACGAATTTTCGTCTCAATTTAAACTTTCTTTTATTCCAAATTTAACTTCTGCTAAAAATACTTTTAAAGGAATCTTAAGAATCAAAAGGCGTGAATACAATCTTGTGTTACTATACTATTTGTTAGTATCTACTGACTACGCAATGACGGCCTATGTGGTCGAGTGGCTTGCATACTGGTTTTCATGGTGTCGCCATCTCTGAGGTCCCGGGTCCGATCCCCGGCCGGGTCAGTGTAGAAACTAACTTTTCTATATTTTCTCGGTTCTGGGTGATTATGGTATTGACGTTGTTTCCGATTTCCGTAACCAAAGGCTACTTACTTCGGGATCAGAGCTACGCATGTGATGTCTAATATTTATATTTATTTAATATTTATTATTATCTACGTTACAACTATAATACCTATAAGGTTCGGCTAACTTCTGACTTAGTAGGTGAACAAAACTTCATAACATATGTCGAGGAACATGTAAAATTGCATTATGGTACTTTACAATACGGTACAGTTTGCAATTAAAGCAATATTCAATTGAATTTAAAAACTAAGACCGCTTGTGGTGTCAACCTGTTAATCCAATGCTAATGAGGTTGTGTCAAAGGATGGTCTATTGTTTTCCATATGATTCCACATTATCAGTCCTGGTATTACTCAACTAGTACAGATATGGACACTATATATACACATGTAACTAGATATAGCCCATAAGGCTATATTTAGTTACATGTTTAATAAAATTATGACTATTTAATGTGGAACGTAAAGTGTCTACATTTCTACAAGGGTCAGTTAAACTTATTTAAAATTAGAAGCCGTAGCCATTTGCTAAAAAAATATTCGAGAATACTAACACGGATTTTATATTTTTGTAACTTTTAGATATACAAGAGTAAGTGCGATCGCAAGTTAAAAAGAAAAAAGTGAAGTATAGGATTTTCCATATCCTATTATAAATTAATCTCAAGATCTTAATTAATGTGTAAATTCAGAGTCACTGCAGTCAGGTGCGCTAGTGCATCATTACGGCGCTCGCGTCCGCTGACGTCACGTCCGCTGCCACCGTTTCCTTTCGTTTTCGATTGTCTTTGACCGAGGCCTTTCGCATTTTATTGGATCTCTCACAGCGTAACTTTATGGTTATAAGAGGTGATAAAATAAAAAAGGTGAATTTCATTTCACCATCTATACAAACAAATTTCTGATTAATAATGATTAAGATCTATTATAATAGGTCTTTCCTTTTCGAATTTGTAAATCGGAAGTTCCAATTAGACCGACATACCTACGTGAGACGCACTTTAAGTTTTCGGAATGATTAAAAAAAAAAATACTAAAAATGGTCAGAAATGAATTTATTGTTTCTCAAAATATTCTCCGTTAGCGTTAATACACTGTTTCATACGAAATCAACCAATTTTGAAAACATTTATGCCACTCTTCCGTGATAATCTCTGAAACGTATTTTTCATACTCTTCGACTGCCTCTTCAGGTGATGAAAATCGTTGACCGCGTAACTGGTTCTTAATTTTTGGAAATAAATAAAAGTCACCAGCTGCCAGGTCAGAACTGTACGCGAGATGGCTCATAAGGTCAACGTTGTTCACCTTCAAAAATTCTGTCTGAATTTGTCTGCCTCGCCGTGTGAGAACTGGCATTATCGTGGTGCAAGATGATAAGGCGTTTACGGTTATTTTTAGAGAGTTTGTCAATAACTTCCGGCAAACAAATGGTCGTGTACCAATCACTATTCACGGTACAACGATTCTTCAAAGCAACAGTAGCCACGTGTCCAGTTTTATTTAAAAAAGGAACAATCATCCGCTTAGAGGCACTTTGCACGCGCGTCACTTTGGTTGGATTCGGCTCGTTTTGAAAGATCCATACGCTCCATAGCTGCTTTGTTTTGGGATCGTAACTATAAATCTATGTTCGTCACCTGTTACTATGTCCCACACCAAATTTGACGCCCCTTCGTTGAATCTGGTAAGCATGGCATTGCACCAAGTGACGTGATCCGTTTTTTGAGGCTCAGTCAAATTGTGTGGCATCCACCGAGAGCACAGTTTTTCACACCCAAATGTTAGTGTAGTATTGATTGTATTTGACTCATGCCTATGCCTAAAGATGCCCGAATCTCATGGTATTTCACATGCCTGTCTGTTTTGATCATACGGCGCACAGTATCGATGTTTTTGTTGTTCACAGTAGTGGACGGGCGACCATCACTAAATTCGTCACTGAGATTCACACGACCACGTTTGAATTCTGCAAACCAGTTATAAATAGTCGTCTTGCATGGTGCTTCATCGCCAAAAGCAGTTTGAAGCCGAGCGAAGCTCTGCTGAGCTGTTACATTACACTAAGGGTCGTATTCTAGAACTCTACTCAATGCTCAAGTCAGGATTTGAGTATGGTTTAAAGCACTCGAAATCATACGCAAGTCCCTGCCATTAGGGTCGTATTTCCAGTGCTTGTGTTGCCAGTGCAATCCTGACTTGAGCATTGAATAGAGTTCTAGAATACGACCCTTAAAGTCGTAGAAAAACATACTACGAAGATTTTCACGATTTAAATCCATGGTGAAGTAGACAACCAATTTCTAAAATGACGCCACAATGTAAAACAAGTCACAGTCAGATGAAACAAACAGCATTCTACAACCAATGAGTTCCGTTTTCAAATATTGTTTGTGTAAGTGGCTAGTTCCGGAAACTTATAGTGCGCCCATGTATACTCGTATCATATCCACAAAGTAAGCGCTTGTAACCACAAATAGAAGAAACCAATGTTTATGTAGAATTACGCATTAAAACTATGTTGGAATAGTTGCAAACGTTGTAAATAGTAAATCATTAGCCAATTCTTGGTGCCGTATATTGACGGCAACTACAGTTACAAAAGTCAAATGTAAGCGTGTACCTTGCAATAAATGAATCCATTGGTGGAGAATTTGATTGAAAATGTAATTTGTTTTATTGCAATGTTTTAAACGAATCATGAAATCATAATCATTCAAAACAGTATATCGTTGCATTGAGTAAACCAATACCATTTTTTTTTGGGAAAAGTTGGGAAAGGTTCGAGGTTGAATGCGTACAAATGTTATTTACAAAGAGCAACCCCTCGAGTTTCTTGCTCATTCTTCTCAGGCGAATTTGCCTTACGAATGAACGGTAGAGTTTAACCAATGTGACGATTTCAAGTGTAATAATGCTTGCCTATGAAATAAAGATTATTTTGATTTTTTATTTTGATGATCTGAAAAACCGTCCTTAAGGTATGAACTCATAGCTATCAATGAATATGTATGATGCATTTTATGGTCACCCGTTTTGTAAGTCAATGTCACCCGTACTTAAAGTTAGAACCACGCATTGTCTATAAATACATGAGTACTACTTCTTTTATTAGAACCTTGATTTGTAAAGTTTTCGTAACGCTGTTTGTAAC